CAACACAGTCCCAACTAGTAACCACTAGTCATTCTTATTCACTTGTTGTATTCAACACACCAACACAGTCTCAACTAGTAACCACTAGTCACTATCTGTCAGCTTGCAATCTTACCTTATATTGTTTGGTCATACATCAACAGGAGAAAGACCCAAGAACAGCCAGTAATCCTGATTTACACTTCAATAGAGCCATGGTCAGTTACTTTTCTTTCAAAGATGGAAAAAGTTGGACTTTTACCCTATGAACACCAATGTTGGGGGTTATTGTGATCAACCCACACTGACCAAACACTAACACTACCAACATCTTAGCATTACATAATTGACCACTTATCAACCCCTTGCTGTTACATTTTACCAACACCGACCCCACTTTACCAAGTTCAAGTTTCAAGTTTCAAGTTTATTTTTGCAAAAGAATCTCTATATTTACACAATTTATCACCCTCCCACAAATAGCACTAAACTAATCTAGGCGGTGCATAACTGGCCATATTCCAACACATTTCATTACCATAACCAACCCCACTGTCACTTTACCATTGCATTACAGACCACTGACAAAATTAACCATTACATAACCAACACCTTACCAATCACTTACCAAACACTTATCATACAATGCAAGTTAATCACAATTTCAGAGTCATATTCTTTACTATAATATTACCTTCATTTTTAACTTTTCGCTGTCAGTATTTCCATGTCTAATATCTGGTTGTCATATTCCAGGCATACAAATACCAAGAGGAATACGAGCACTGCATCAATGACTTCAAGAAAGCCTTTATCTTTGATCCAGGATTCCAAGAGGCTAAAGAACAAAGGAAAAAAGTACTTCATTATTTAACGAGCACCATGGAACTGGTGAAAGCAAAGGTACATGTAAGACCCTTAGCCCTGTCAATCAGGGTGGGTAGCATGGGTGGCGTACTGCTTGCCTCTCACCACTGTGGTCTGGGTTCAAGCCCCAGCTCAGACTGGATCATATGTGAGTTAAGTTTGTTTGATGTGTTGTTCTCTCCTGGAGAAAAACTCATCTAGCACAGGAGAGAACAACACCATACAACCTTACAGTACATTGAGAGTACCATGAATAAACCAAAGGATGGCATGGGTGGTGTAGTGGTTTTCTGCTCACCTCTCACCACTGTGGTCTGGATTCGAACATCGGCAGACTCAGGATCACATGTGAGTTGAGTTTGTTTGATGTGTTGTTCTCTCCTATGCCACAAGGGTTTTCTCCGGGTTCTCCGGTTTCCTTCCTCCGTAAAAATCAACATGTGAGTTGAGTGTTGTATGTTGTTAATATAGAATGTAGTGGTAGTGCTTGTGGAGGGAACCTCACGGAAGAGGCCCGTACAGGTAGTAATGGTTGTAGAAATATATATAATCAATATGTCACCAACGAGGCATTGATAAAATCAAGTTTGAATGTTTTGTAAGTTTGCAAAAGGCTGTATATATTCACATGGGCAGAGATCTTTGGGTCTACTCTCCCTTGACCTGGGTTTTTCCTCTGAGATCTCAAGTATTCCTCTCTCTGCAAAACCTACCATGCTAAATTTAAATTCCACGTGTGTTGAGTTAGCCTTGCCCAAATTTGAATCAGCCTAGAGGTTGTTAAAGAGCGATATGTACAGCGGTTATGCCATATTTTACCATTGTTGTCTTGAGTAATATTCATACAATGAAATAAATATATTTTATTAGACATTTTTGGGTGCATTACAGCATACATAGAAGATATTTCGAAGTAGCATGAAGATAATATGAAGTTTATCTTCAACTGATGAATATATTCGAGTGAGCACAGTGAAAGAGTGAAATGTTTTTCAACACGAGAAGATAAACTTTATATATTCAAGACAATGTGTAATTTTCTTTTTATTATACAGACACATTCATATGAAAAATATTAGTGGCGTATTTCCCCGTAAAACATTAATGTCTTCATAATATAGGTAGACATTTTTTCAGAGACTGCAACAGGCTCGACAGAATACAAAGACAAGGAACAAAGTGCAAAATCTCTATACCTGGTATTTAAATGTTTTTCTGTATTTGTAGGGCAAAATCAAAGCCAAGAGACTCACATCAATGGTACAATCCCTTGGTGATTCTGAACTAGGTCCCTACGCTGGTGGTAGCTACACCAGTCCTACAGGAATGACAGTTAAGTTAGAGTGTGTACCTACGACAGAGTTAAAAGCTGGTTTTAATGAAGGAAAGGTAGTGATGGGAAGAATGGTTGGTTCTGTTGCCATGGATGACCCGTTACCATAGTAAGTAGCAATATTCATGGGCATGTAGAGCTCCCTTAAATAGACCTCTTTTACTAGGCRTAATGTTTTCCCATTACAGACCTTGTGTCATTCCCTTGAATATCATTTCTTTGTTTAACAGTTGTGCATAACAAGACACATGAATACGGATACAACTCAAAGAATCCTATTCTCAAGAGAACGAACATAAAAAACCTCTACCTTGGGCGTAATGTTTTCCCATTACAGACCATGTGTGTCATTCCCTTATGTATCATTTCTTTATTTAACGGTTGTGCACTTGAGAATACACATGAATATACTAGATACGACTCAAACAAAGAAACTTTTTTTGAAGAGATGATATGTGTTCCGAAATGGGGAAAAAAATTACGCCCAAGGGATTGGCAGAACACTTGAGAAGTGTTGTCTGAGAGTTCACTCTGCTTTATGACTGCATACAGCACTATTTAGTACTTTTTCAAGCTAAGTTAGTGTATAACATTGTCACAGGTTTATTTGTTCACTCTGTTGTTCATATAGACCTATGCATGTGATGTCAAAGCAGCTCAATTTGGAGGACAAAACAAAAGAATTTCAATCTCCTGATATTTGGAAACCTATTGTTATGTCCTCCAAATATTGAGCTGCATTCTGACATACTGCAAAGGGGTCTATAGCCATGCATAAAAGTGTTAGAGATAATGATTCAATGTAAATCAATGACAATTATGATATCTGCCTAGCCTCCACATGCTCTTTTTGTTCGTTGGGCTTCCTATGGTAAGGACATAAATAAATAACACAGGGATCCCAACAGAGAATATATGGAGTAGCCTGCAGAGAAGGCTAATTTCTGCCATTCATGGATCCTTTTCCTATTATACAGTACATTTGCCATGATTGACAACACTGGACATTGCTTACCTGTCACTGTCTACAACATGAACATGAAATCTGGTTTTATGGTCGGCGATTCTCTAGCCATTCCTGAACCCTTTATACAAGTTACTGATTTTACAGAAGATGGCAAGGTAACTAGAATAGTACACAAAAATAAAATGTATCTTCTTAGCTTACAGCGCAACATGCAAAAGTATGACCACATGTATATTAATTTCAATGTATTATTTGGTAAAACCAACCAGCTTCACATCAAATTGTGTCAGTTTCACATACAAAAGCCTGTGCATAGAATTTTTTGAATACATTATATGTGGTTATACTTTTGCTTGTTGCACTGTAAGATGAGTTATGAATCTAAATTTTATGAGAAAATGGTATTTCTATTTGGAAGACACTTTTGAAGGATGTTTTCTGCAGAAAAGAGGTTGATTTTGCTGTAAATGTATGAGGGAATGAAATTTGGGATCCTTCCATTCATCGATCTATCCACCTATGTACCAATTAGCATTTAGTTAGTACAGTGATACTTCTATTAAGCAGACACCCTTTAATTAAACAAACACTAACTCAGGTTGGATGGGTGGATTGATGGCTTGAAGGAGGAAAAGATAGACAGATGGGTGGGTGAACTGCTGTATAGATGGATGGAAGGATGGATAAATATGGATAGATAAATGGATGATGAATGGGTGGGTGGGTATACAGCTGGATAGGTGAATGGGTGGGTCGATGGAAGGATGGATGGAAGATGGGTGGGTAGATGGATGAAAGGAATGATAGAGAAATGGGTGGATGGATAGATGGATGGAGGAATAACAGAATAGATGGTCATTTATTCTTGCTCTATTTACTTTTTAGGTGTACAAGTTTGAGTCCATACGAGTAGACAACCCTGTAGTCCTCATTGTCAACAAGAAGAAGCTTGGCAAGAACCAACTTGCTCCTTCAGTTCTCTCTGTTACAGCCAAAAATGAATAACATGTTAGTGTGTGTTCTTCAGTGTTTACGATAAAATCAAAAACTTTCCATACTTACACATTGTCTTGAAAGAATGAACCAAATCGCAAAATGTTTTCAAGGTTTGAAATACAATTTTTTTCGTTTTCAATGCAAGATTGCTTTCCCTAATTTCGTGTTAAATTTTTTTCTTTAAAAGTTAATCATAATTCAAAGTACCTGTAAAATGGTACTATACACAAGGCTGCAAATAAGTGCTGATCATTAGAGAAGTGTCTGGTAAAGATGATCACTTGACCAGTAAATGATTTGCATTGGCCAGACATTTGACCAGACATTTGATCAAACACATTCGCCACAATACAAGTGAATGATAGCTAAGTTACTATACTTATTGACGAGATATCTGCTGCGAAAAAAAGTTTTTGTCCTATCACACTTCAGTTTTTTTTATGCAAGTCAAAGTAATTCCTTTGACCTGATAAATAACTGGCTTGACAAAATAATTATTTGCAGTCTTGATATCTTTCTAAAACATATTACAACATTTTCTCTGTTTTATTGTATGTTTGTACAAAGAGTGCACATTGTATGTACTATTTACATCATCTCTATCCACCATTTCTTCCATGCACTATTTAATATCGACTAGTCTTTTATACAAGAAAAATAATAACCACAAGCAAGTATTGTAATAAGTTATTGGTTACAAAATATATAGATGAATATTCTTGGACTTGTGTTTGTATTTTCTAGAAAATAACTCCCCCCCTGTCCTCTCCCACTCAGGAGGATTATTGTGAAGTTCAATAAAATGTCTCGTCCATGGAGGAGATTGGGATTTCCAAGGGGTGGGGAGGGTCTGAGGAGGGTATATTGTGTAGTTCCAGAAAATATCCATACCTCTCCCATGGAGGGGGATTGGAATTTCCAAGGGGTGGGGAGGGTCTGAGGAGGGTATATCGTGTAGTATCAGAAAATATCCATACCTCCTCCATGAAGGGGGATTGGAATTTCCAAGGAGTGGGGAGAGTTTGAGGAGAGTATCAAAAACTACCTATACCTCCCCCATGGAGGGGGGGTGGGTTGGAATTTCTAAGGGGTGGGGAGGGTCTGAGAGTACATGTATGTCATTAGTAATACTTCCCCGGTGGTTATACTATTTACATGGTTCTCGTAGTGTGCTTGTATGTGATGTGGTTGTGTCTCAGACTTGAGCCATTAATAAGTGATATAAGCATGCATGCCGGATGCTATGATACTGATTTATACTTGACGGCAAACATGATCCATGTTGCACAGGCACTCTCTGGGTATGCAAATACTCTGACCCTTACTGCAAGCCTGACATGGTCACCACGACAACATACTATTTCCTCGCACACTGGGGATCTGCAAAGTATGAGAGGGTGTTGTCATTCACTTTTGGTGCAAAAGGGAAATGTAGAGTCAATGAAGGGATGGATGAACATAAAGAAGGGGAAATGGGAAGTAAAAAATAAAAACTTTCCTTTATAAAATGATTTGTTTGTATCCTCCTCCCCAAGCATAAACCTTAGGGACCGGTCATTATTTACAGGGGGGGGGGGGTGGTGGAAATGAGAAATGTGATGCTCAATTTTTTTGGGTCCACCCTCCATAGAGAACTCAAATTTTAGTGAAGGTTACAAGTATCTATTACACAATTTTTTTTGGTCCCCCCCTTTTTGGTGCACAAAAATGTTTGGTCCCCCCTCATTTCCACCAGCCCCCCCCCCCCCCCCCCCCCCCTCCCTGCAAACAATGAACAGTCCCTTATGGGCAGCAAAAGATTCTGCAACAAGACCAGCCAACCCTTCACAATTACACAGTTTGTACTAAAAATAACAAAGTTTCTTACAAAAATGTAACCCTCCCTTTGATTCAGCCATCCAACCAAAGGCCCCTTCTTTGTGTTGGATAAACCATACAGAGTAAAATGTATTAGATTCTTAGCATGTAGAGGGAGCAGCCCCTGTATCCCCAAAATCATTACAAACTTGATGGAGCCACTGTTTTAAGTGAAGAGAAAATCCAATCAAACAGAAATGATCCCTCTCCCAATCATAATAATTATAATAATAATATACTGTAATAAAGTTTATTATTATTATTATTATTATTATTATTATTATTTGCTTGGTTGCTTGCATTATCAAGCACTCACAAAGCAGCTCTATTGGCCTACTGGTCTTAATATAGACAGGGCAGAAAAACGGGTTCTACTTTCGACGTTTATGCGTTAATAAGCTTTATATTTCATAAACAGGCTCTTTTGGGGCTGATTAACAAAATACCAAAATTTGGGGAAATTTAAGGGATGGACATTTGAGATATAATGCCCTGAACGTTGGGAGAGATGATATTTTGATCAGTACAAAATAATAATTATAACGGGGTTCCTATATAGCGTATTTTACATGGTCTCAATGCGCTTCACAATCATGACCAGTGGAGGACTTTATGGGCTGCATGTTTAGGTGCTAGTAGCAGCCGTGCAGCTTACAATCATGAGTGATTGTAAGAAAAAAACCTTTTTGCTAATACCTCGAAGTAGAATTGCTCGAGGTTAGCAGAATTTTGTGAAAAGTTTAAAGCACAAGAGACACGAATGAAACACTAAACGTTTTTAGCATGAATTCGAGAGATAAAGAAAAAAATAATTGCAAAAGTAGCAGCCTTGTYGTTTTTCTGCTCTGTCCTTAATATAATGTTTAGAGGTCTCATTCACCAGTAGCTTTGGCATTTAAACARCGAATCATAGATGTTACCTTAGACATGAAGCGAAGGCCCTTCTAGCATTTCTGTGTACAAACTGAATGGGATACCCCTTGAAGGTGTGCCCGTCGGGAATAGCAAGTCTTATAGCCTGTTGAAACTCCTCATTGCCTGCTGTGATTCCAGTACAGTGCTCCAGTTCATAGGCAGCCAGGGCAGGCGTCAAGATGTAACATAGTTCATCATMCCAAACAGTGCTTAATCCAAGGTCCTGTTTAATAGTAATGATTGGGACTGCTCAATAATTATGCTGTGATATCAACATTGTCATTATCATCATCATATCATCATCA